TGTCTTTGAAATAAAGAACAGCAATCAGTGAATTACAGCATTATTTCTTTGTTTTTTTAGTACACTTTATATTCCCGATTGAAAATATTCTAAAAAGATTAACCCGGCCACCTCCACTGTGTTTTTGTTAGATGTATTTCTATTTATATCCATCTGATGAGTTAAGCCTTTGTTAATTGTTTTTAATAGTTCCTTTCCTTATGTTGTACTGTTTCAGCAGTGTCTGGTTTCTAATTTGAATTCTTTTAAATTTGTGATTTCAGGGCCTTTTATAGCTGATTACAACTTTATGGGCTTTGCTCATTGTTGAAGGCCGTATAGTGACTTTTAGCTGTTAATTTCTGTGTCATTTGATCTGTTGTGAGGAGTGGTCTCATTGGCAATCATACCACATCTTCCTTTATTATATATATATATATAAATTTGACATTCCAAATGTTCTTTGCTATTTGTAATCAGATCTAAAGGGTGTAAGGTCAACCATCAGAAAGTAATATAACAAATTCTGCAAGAAATGAATTTTATAACAAAATTATTTTTTGCATTTTGGACAATACCAGTCATCCCCTTCAATTTCACTCCACTGACTATCACTTAAATCAAGACACTGTCTGTCATACCATACATCACAAATGTCACAGGCAATCCATTCATCGCCGTCAACATATACTCGTTGACATAAAGGACATATGGTGTCTTTCTCCCCTGAATTTTCATTATTGTTTTTCCTTTTTTTAGTTTTTGTAACAAGTTTTGATTTTTTTCGTTTTCTCTTTAGCTTTGGTTTAGCTTTTATTGTCACTTCTGATTGTCCAGATGTAGAAGGCACTTGCACATCACTGACATCAGGTACTGACTGTACAATTGTTTGTGTTGAATCAAGTGTTTGATCAGTTGGTGGTGATTTTGTAGGCCCAGATTCATTTAAATATTCAGGAAAAGGAATTTCTAATGCAGAACTTAACACGGAACATAATTTGTCTTTTATTTTGTCATTTGTTGAATTTGAAGCTATTTGAATGGCATAGGCATGGCACAGTTTCAAGAGATCATTCTTTACAAAATTACTAAAAGCAGACTTTGAAGAATCAAAAACCAATGATTTTAGTTTTAAATGTGAGCTTACTTTACCTTGAGAATTATCACCATAAATGTTTTTCATAGTAAGTGTTCCTGATGTGCTCACTTTGCTATCAACTTTTTTTCGCAATCGTTCAGTTTTAGTTTTCCCAAATTGGCGTAGGATTCCTTTTCGAAATTCATTGTCTGAGATTCTGCAGAATCTAAGAACAACATCAGTATATAGCTCAATCAAACACTGTTCTGAATCCTGACTACAGACCATAAAAATACTATCAACTATTTCAAAATCACAGAATAGGTTCTTCCACAGTTCAAATAATGGCTTGTTTTTCAAGAGTTCCCCATGAGTATAATTAAGTATTCCAGCCCCATATAAATTGAACGACTGATCAGTTTGGATTGAAAACCTTTTTTTTTCCAGTTCTATGGCAAATTGAAATGTTTTATCACCAATGTTTGTTAAACCCTGAGAAAGATTTTGCTTCCTTTGTGTTTGGTATAGGGTGTCCTTGTACTTTGATGAAACTTCTAATTCTGAATATCTTGCAGTTAGAGAGTCTAGCATTTTAACTTTTAAGAATAATTTTGACGAATTATGTCGGTTACTTTTTTTGTAGATGTTGTTCAAGGCCTGTTTCATAATGTGATAACGACATTTAGCGATGCATCTTCCAAAAATGTACCTTAATTTTCCTTTCCCAGAATCTGACATTTCGTTTGAAGAGGAAATGCATTTTTCCTGCGATGTTATGGTATCCGCATGCTTTTTTAAAACAGCTGATGTTACTTTATCAAAAATTTTGCTACACAGCTGAAAATCTAGTGAAGATGGTTCATTTTGAAAAAGTGACTTAGCAAGACCAGCATACTCAGATGAAACTGAATGCTGATAGACTTCAGTATAATATTTTGTCCATACTTTAGGCTCGACTGATTTCTCTGAAATATTACCACAAGTCTCATCAAAAATTGTGCTTATTTTCGAATATAAATTGTTAACAAATGTCTTCAATGTACTTGAGACGTTTTCAAAATTATTTTTATAATGTTCATTTACTAACTTATCAATTGGTGCTGTATTCAAGTCTGAGAAAAGTGCTGATATTTCTGTCAAGTCTATAAAGAGTTCTTGAATCTGATCTGGTTCACATGGCTCAGTTATATCAGTATCTTTAGACAATAAAAAATCTATTTCCTCAATTTCCCCATCACTAAAATCTGATAATTCGTCATCCGAATTTGAATTTTCAATAGTGTCCACAGAATTCCCTTCTGTATTATTGAATACAATTTTACAACAAGTAAGTTTCCCAGAATTATCAAATTCATTATTGTTACTTGCATCATAAAACTGATGCAAGCTGGCTTCATGCTTAAGGACTGATGACCTATTAAATCCAATGACTCTCAGTCCTTTCTTCTCTGTAGCCCTCCCTATAGCAACCCCCAGCTGGCCAGGCGCAAAAATGTTTGAAGCATCAACCTCAACCCTTTGTAATGTTAGGCCCTGTGCTTTGTGAATGGTAATGCTGTAGGCCAGACAGATAGGTATTTGTTGTCTCGAAGCAATGACCCTATTTTCATTACAACTGAATACCAAAAATGTTTCAGCTTTCAAATTAGCTGTCAAGATTTCCCCATTCAGCCCTGTGAAATTTATAGTAACACACTTACTAGACAATGATGACACAATACCCCGTAAACCATTCACTAGCTTTTCATTCAAATTCTTTAAAAGCATTACAGGACATCCAATTTTTAAGTGCAGCTGTTTCGTTACTGGACTTTTGTCCAGTTTGGAAATTTGCCCTTCATCAATTGAATTATATACAGTATAATCCCCTGGTAGATCCATTAATTTTGTGGCATTAAATATGTAACAGTCAAAATTTCTGGCGCACAATCTGATAGGTTCTGGACCAGGAGGTAAAGGGCGGCGTAGTCTATTTAACAAATGCTCGGTTTCAGTTTGGAGCTCTCCTCTGGCAATATCATTAATGGCTTGGATAAAATCAGGCTGAGTTTGGCGTATAACTTCAGTCAGTATAAATTTATGTTTAAATAATTGTTGAAAAGTTGATGACTTAAAGCAGTATTCCCCAGCATCATTTTTTAAATGATCGGGGACAGGCGGCAGTTGAAAAAAGTCCCCCACTACAATGACCTGTATGCCTCCAAATAACTTATCATTTTTTAATATTTTTCTACATATACTTTCTATTTGCTCAAATATTTTCTTTGATATCATGGAAATCTCATCAATTATTAGGCAATCAGTGGATAAAATATTTTGCTTGTACTGTATATAGTGTTCATTTTTATTAAGTTTATCTTCTAGTTCCTGATTTGAAAATCTACCGTCCTTTATTCCGGACCACGAGTGTATAGTCTGGCCATTTACGTTCAAAGAAGCTATTCCTGTTGACGCTGTCACTGATACATTTTTCCCTTCTTTTTTTAACTGTTTTGAAATTTCTTTAATTAAAAAGCTTTTCCCTGTCCCACTTTGGCCTAGTAAAACCATAGAATGTCCCTCATTTGCCTTGTTAAGGACTTCTTTTTGAGTTTTTGTCAAAACCATGTTGTTATCATACAATATTACTTTCACTTTCCCTTTCTAATAACCTTCTATTTTTGAATGACCCTATGACCTATGAACCGACCAATCACTAGCAATATTGAAATTTGATGCTTTAAACCGGAACTTGTTGTATTTTGTAGGAGGACTAAAAATGAACTCATGCAAATTTATTGACAAAGATTGTGTATTGGAGGTAAGGGGTACTGTAAGGGTAAATACAATGCATACCATCTGAAAGAAAAACTTTTCACGAATAGAATGATGTATGAAACAAGAAATTTGAGAATGAATTGACAGAGAAATAATGATTTTCAGCGGAGAGTTGAAAAAAGTAGTTGGGTACCTTCTCGTAAATATACGTTGATAGTGGGGCTTCCCATGGATAGAAACAAGTGCCTGTGATAAACAGGTCTACTTTCTTTAGTTGTTAGTTCATGATTGTAGTAATTTGTAGTTGTACGCAGCGATACTTCTACATTCAGTCCAACAGCTAATTCAAGTGATATTTTACATCTCTGTGTGACACAAACTTAGCTTGATAACAGTTGTGTCTTTTGAGTAACGTTAGTGAAGACCACAACTAGAATGACTTTGCAAAAAGCTGCATAAACAACATCGTAAATTTGCCTCCACATGTAGTGAAGCAGAACCGGAAGTGATGAATTGTAAACAATATACAAGATGCACTGGACAAAAATGATTAGTAAAAATGATTAATCTATCCAATGTAACACCATAAACAAATGAATCTTTACTAAATTAACAATTTCTCAAACTGTTATTTGTTGTTTTTCAAAAGATGCAGCATACAATATGAAATATTTTTTTTTACTTGTAATGAAGTTCAACATGGGTTGTCTTTCTTGGAATAGTAAGAAAAAGCGGTTAATTTAAAATGAAAATAACTTGAGATAGGTGCAAGGCTACAAATAAAAAAAATTGATAAAAGGTAAATCACTTTTTCTTCATATTGCATGATTCTTAGGTGGAGCTATACTTAATGTATATCCATTAATAACAAATGCTATAAATCTTTTATTTTTGAAAAACAGTGTTACTTTCGGCAGTCTAAATTGGTCGAAATCGTCAATATTTGAGGCTTTTGTATTAAAACCTTTGCAATTGTGTTTTATATATTATTCACTATTCTGCTTCTATTAAAACAAAACATTCATGCATATCAGGGCTGCATATGTAAACGTTTTGCGAAGCTCAACATTGCCCTTAGTCCAACATATAGTAAATTATATTTCAACACCTTTTACATAACTTAAGATAATTTGTAGCATTTAAATTTAATTTTTTGATATTTTCAAATATGCACATTTGTTTGTAGGATGTTAGTTATACAAGAATCGTCATAGCGGTAGTAGTGGGTGCAATCATTGTTGTTGTTGTTGTGTCGATTCTGGGATTCATTAATTACAGAAAATTTAAACAGTCTTCACGTGGTAATATAAATTATAATGTAAGCCAAAACACCACAGATGGAATAATCAGAAATCAACCAACGAGCAATGTAGAATACCATTCAGTCAAATCAGTCGAGATCAGTGACGAGAAAGACAACATGTGAAATAAATTGGAAACCTATTCAATATGTAACGTTGCTATGTGTTTTTTTTTACTTACATGCGAAAGTTGCTTAACATTTTATATTTAAGATTCAGCAATAACTATGTCTTTCTTTTTATTGCAACACTTGTGTATTTTTTTAATATGTACATGGGTTCTTAGCTGACTTTTCACATATTCATTTTATGATCACATTTGTATTTTGTCTAATCCGAGGCATGTGTTCATTACTTTTGCGTCAAAAGAGACGGTATTAACAATGAGTATAAAGCTCAAAAATTTTTAGATGGTACTATAGATACAAAATCCATATTGCATATGTGATACCTTATCTAAAGATATTTTGTCTGACATAAATATTTGACCTTGTCATCAAATTTATAGTTCAATGACTTATGTTTAACACTGTCTCTATTCCTACTTTATACAACATGAATTGTGTACCGAATTTCTTTTTTTCAATTAGTATGAGCTAGGAGATGACTGTATTGTAGTTTAAGCTCCGATGGCATCAAACCACCAATTGATGCCGTCGGAGCTTAAAGTACAATATTCTTATAAAAGTGACAAAACACAATGTCAAATCATACATTTGAATTTTGTCATACGTCGTGTGAGCTTGCGCGTACGTTTTCACGGCATCAATTCTGAAGTTATGCTATGCAAAATGGTGACGTTATTCTATCAAAATAAACATTACAAACGACGTAGCATTAGAACTATGTGTAGCAAGCATTTGATAAAAAAGGAGAACATACAAAGGAAACAATCAAACCAGTTATTCGAAGGACGACATATAACACACATCCCAAAAGACAAAACAATGATCAATCATATAAAGGCAACACTAGTAAACCACTGTTCAATAGTCATAAATCGACTTATCTAAAACAAATCCGGGTCACCTTGGGAAACACATCAACATTAAAAAGAAAACAACGGAACAAAAGAAATACTGACCTGCTACAAATACAATAGTATACTACACACTAGATAATCTAGACATTGAGCAACAGAACAATATTCAAATCGGAAAACTAACGGTCTAATTATAACAAATCATTTTACGAAAAATTATTATTAGGACAGACATGAACCAACGACAACCTATCTACTATAAGCTCCTGTCTCGGGGCAGGCACATTAAGAATGTAACGGGGTTAAACATGTTTGAAGGCGTCAACCCTCCTATAAGCTGGAGCAGCATTGAAACGGCACAACATAAGAAACTATAAAAATCTATTGAAAAAGGGCTCATCATTCCAAAACAAAGCAGAAAAACAGAACAACAAAAAGCGGACGTGGCCGGGAATTTAAACATCCACACAACAAAAATGACACAAAGTACAGAATTGAGAGTACTCACAGTTACTGACAGCTACTTCAAAGCCAAAAAATCAACTGATGAAAAAACATGTATCTCAGACTAAATATCAACCAGTACACATTCAACATCCAATTGATTCAGTGTAATGTCGTCATTAACTGTCAGAGAAAAACATCACTTGATGCAATGCAAAAATATAATTATCTCCAGATTGTAGAGCCGTGAATGTGCATATGTATATGTCGTGTACATGTTATTATTTTGTACAAGTTGTTACCTGTACAAAAACTTTGTACAAGTAATTACTTGTAGGATGCCATCATACAAGTAATTACTTGTACAAATATAATTGTACAAGTAATTACCTGTACAATTTTTGTTGATAAAAAATAATAACCTGTACAAATCGCTTTCTTTGAGTTATATTTGATTCTTCCTTCCTTCTGTTTTTAAAGAGGCATTAGCTACGAGATATATAAAAAATCTTAAGTATGATTTTTTTTTGTTCAATCATTATTGAAAGTGAAATAGTGAAATAATAATTCGTGTTTAGTAGCCATTATGGTTCAAATTTGTCAAATTAAGCTGAGAAACATTGATGATGAATTATTCACTTGCAAGTGAATAATTCGACCTCATTGAATCCATATTCATGTGAACTTCAATTCAATCTCTTAGGCAGAGATGGATAGCGCATGAAAAGTGCGTGTTCGGTTATTTAAAGGAACAAATGTCAACATTGAAAGTGAAACAAAGGCAATTCATTTAATTGAATGACAAAGAAAAATCAAATTGCACGAGTTTGCTTTCTATATATATCTATATTTATGTTTATATCGCTTATATGACCATCGGAGGTCTTCGGAGGTAAACTCGATAGTTAATTAGATGGCGTCAAGAGACTAGAATATACACGGAACGAAGCTACATATTATCGAGCCCATGCCCTGTAAATTGTTTATTTTAGACTTTTTATAATTTGGACAAATGTTTTACATGGTTATAAATCAAATATGAGAATTTGAGTCAAATCGGTATACATGAATTTGACATCTAGTGCCTCTTTAATTAATAACTTAGCTTACATGAAACCTTGAGCTTATTGGGCTAAACAACTTGTTGCCACTAAGATACGGACTACTGGTGCAAAGTGTCTACCAATTATTTTGATTTATTATATTCTCAATTGGGGGAAAGATTCAATTGATATCTGACAGTATGGTTTTAATTATTATTATGATTATTGTTGTACTTGTAAATGTCGGTGAGTTGGTAAGCCACTTCGGCTGCTCTTTTTGTCTTTAAAAGGCGCAGTACACTGAATTTGGTACAATGATCCTGGTAGTACATGATCCACTTATATTTTCCATCTGGACATAATTGATAGTCAACAAGGTCTACCTGACAATGAAATATTTGACTTTGACTTGACAACGAGGATTAAAGACTGTAGTAGTGATAGGACGAGCAACTTTTTTTCAAAATGTTCACACATCTGAGTGAACATTCTGATAATTTCTCTGCTGATATTGGCAAATTGTTTTTTTTTTTACTCCTTATAACTTTTGTGTATGCCTCCATGACCAACTGCAGAATGTGCTGTTCTAATCAGAGGATAAAATTCATCAACTATACAATAATAAATAGTTTCGTCTCCTTTGCAAATGATTTTTTTTTAATTCCTGCTACATTCAAAACATCATACCGTCTTAAGAATTATTTTTGAAGTGCTTTCTTTTTGGAACTTTAATTGGCTTCTTTTAAATTACTTCTCTGTATCTTTCACGTGTGAGAAGATTTTATTGTCATCTCACAATTTATTTCTTTCATCATGAAATTTCTTTTCTACGATTTTTTTCCATCTTTACCCTTTGATTATGCCTACTACAACTGAACAGATTTGTTAACATATTTATCAATTAAAAGGTACTCACATGTTAGAAGTGAATTTATACTTTTGCACTTAGTAATAAAATGTTTAAATAAAAGGAAAGTTTTGTTGTGAACAACAAATAGGCCAAGACAGAATAATGATTTGTACAAGTTATTATCTTTTTCTCAATAAAAATTGGACAAGTAATTACTTGTACAATTGTATTTGTACAAGTAATAACTTGTATGATGGCATCATACAAGCAATTACTTGTACACAATGTTTGTACAGGTAATAACGTGTACAAAATAACAACATGTACACGACATATATAACCTTAATATTTAGCATGGTTTTAATGTAATGATAACAAAATCGATATTTATACCAATAAAAACAGTATTCAAAGATATACTTACAGTGTTGAATTGATAACCGTTAAGATTAATTTCATCTACAGCATTGATAAATTAGCACGGATCAAATGATGTGCTATTCCATTCGAAATAAATGTCAGGTGGCTTTCATGTTTTTTCTTGGCGTTGTTGGTTTCATTTTGACCTATGGATGAATGTCTCCTTGGTATTATCCGCCATTTTTTTATCATCAGTTATGCAGGCAAATTATGCCTGCTTGTCAATTAAACGTGCTATACCACAAAGAATGGCTTGTAAAAAGCTATGCTGAGAGTCGTCGACATAAACATATAGTATGTTATTTTGCGAATCAAAACGGAAAGAAAATATAGCCTTTTTTTAACAATGTGTAGAAATCGTCTTGTATCATATAAAGGATTAAAATCGGAAACGGAACATACACTTTGCCATATAAATTCGAGGAAAATAAATAAATATATGACGATTTTCCAACTTATATCTTCCAACTTATGGAGAAACGTATTCACCAAATGTAAAAACAGAAATGTATAACAAAAATACCGTACTCAAAGACAAATAAAAAAGGGAAAGTCCATTAACATTTCACAAAATCAAACGACATTACGACATTAATCAACGGAACAAGTGAAAAAACAACTGCCATAAATCTGACTGTGTACAGGTAGTTTTCAAAGAAAATGGTGGGTTATACCTTATTTTATAGGTAGCCGAACCTTCCACTTTTATGACAGTTGATTATAGTTGCGTTATAAGCCGTTTCTTAATGACGCCAGTAAATCTAGAGATATTTATATATGTTAGAGTTTAGTCTCCAAAAAAGCTCGGTTAATAACCAAAGACAACAACAGTAAGGTCGAGGGTTGTTCTATTTCATTTCTATGGATATGTAAACCAGATGGTCAAGATTATTTAGTCATAATAGTAAAACATGTGGAAAGAATATATTTCAATATGTCTCTGGAATTTTTTTTGATATGTATTCAATAATTTAACCTGCAAATTTCATAAATTTTGTGAAGCGTGAGAGAGGCGGGAGATATTAAGGGGATACAGGTATTCAAAATCACAAATTGATGACAAATTTATGAAACCATGCATGGCAAAAAAAGATAAACGACCAAAAGAAAAACAATAGAAAACAACACACAACATAGAAAACTAAATACTGATCAACACAAACCCAACCAAAAACCGGAGGTGATGGCAGGTGCTTCGAAAGGGTAAGCAGATCCAAATGTGACACACGTCGTGTTGTTCATGATAGTATAAATCCGGTGATGAGCCTAGTTCGGTAGGTCACATTCGGGGAAAAGGAGACGGGATTGTCGTTACGCAATTGGAACACTATTCGTTGTCATCTGTGAAACAGATATTCCAAAATTATCATAAGACTCGTGATGGCGTCCGTAAATTTACGAAGTGATGATTTCAACATCACCATTTGTATTTCTTTGTTAAATAGCTGCCTTGTGAGCAGCAAACCACCATTAATGAAGTCACGATAGAGAATACAAGCCCTGGAATATTGTATTGACTGGGATATAGGTACCATGTTTGCACGTGCTGCTGGAATGTTGCTACATAGAAATGGAAAGTTCACAATTGGGAAATTGAGATCATCTCTTGTGTCGCAAAGCTTTGTGTTCAACCAACCCTCATTGTCACTTTCTAGATGCAAGTCAAGATATGAGGCAGACATAACTGTATGTGTTCTATCATTTTTCTAAAGTTTGATGGGTTATATGCGTTCAACATAGTCACCGAACTTTGAAGTATTTAGTGAGA